CGCGGTTAATGAATTGTCTCGTTAGCGCTGCCCGTTGGAAAAAAAAAAATCCCCCAACCATTTTTTTGTCACCGGAGGAAGCAAAATCGGGCAGGGAGAGTGAAGGGCAGGAAAAGCATCACAGCTGACTTCAGGGTGGAAGGATCTCCCTGAAAAGTCCGGGATTTGCTGTTCCAGGGCTCCTCAGCCACGAAATAACCAACCCCCTGTGCTCATTTTTTCCCCTCTTGGCAGTAATTTCTAAGGTAACTTTTCCCTTTCTGAACCCGAGATGATTTCGGTGACAGCAGGAACATCAGTTGATGTTCCGAATCAGCTGCAGATGGGAAGTGTCACCTCTGCCCGCGGGATCCTCCCTGGAAGCCTCGCTAATGAGGTCAATTATTTACATGACAATCCCCCCCCTCCCACCCCGCGTTTGGGGCCGGTGTGGGGGGGATGGAAAAAGGGATGGAACGCGGGGAATTGGTGTAATCCCGGCCCGCGGGCACCGGGAGAGCATCCCGGGGTGGGGGAAATGTGGGATAACGATCCGGGAATGCGGGATAACCATCCGGGAATGCGGGATAACCATCCGGGAATGCGGCAGCCAGGCGAGGAAAACAACCTGATCCTTAAATATCGGATGGAAAGCTGCAACCACCAACCCGCGGGAGCAACTCTGCTGGCTTGATTTTCCAGGGAAAATAATAATAATAATAAAAAAAGGCACCAGGAGATCCCTCGGGCAAGAAAACAAGAGCCTTGAGCTGCCTGAGGATTGTGGGGTTTCATCCCTGACTGAGATCCAGCAAAGCTGGTCCTTTTTTAGGCCGGGAAATTTTATTTCCAAAGTTATAAACCAAAGCAGATGAAGCTCCTCGTGCTCAGCTTAACCCAAACAGGTGTTTTGTTGCCACGAGCAAACCCTGCTGGGTTTTTTGTTTTTTTTTTTTTTTCCATCCCGAAGAAACGATCCGTGGTTTTGGTTACAGATTGAGGGGACAGATAATTCATCAGCTAACACAAGCACTCAAGATGGGCCTCGTTAATGGAATGGCAGATGTTCTGAACTGGGGAGAAATGGGGCAGCTTTTCCCCTTTCAGAGAGTCACCCACTTTTGTTGCCCTAATAAAGCAACGGAGTCCTTGCCCTGAGTGAGGTCGGGCACGCGTGGATCGTCTCTGATGTGGCTTTTAAATAGGGGCCCCCTATTAATAGAGCCCTAAAAAAAAGTGAAATAAAATAGAATAAAATAAAAATCACCTGAGAGAAACCCAACCCCATTTAAAGAGCTGGATATTGGGTTCATTAGAGACACCAGGGTTGAACACAGAGTTCGGCACCGCTGGCTGGCCTGGCTGGGGAGATGAAAAGGCAGCAATTTTACCACCTGATCTTCCAGCTGGGCTCCAAACCCCCCCTCTGGACAGCAGGAAAAGGAGCCTTGGAGCAGACTGGAAATTCCAGCTCCTTCCCCTCGGGCCGAGGGTTTAAAAGCAGGTTTAAAAGCACCGTTTTGTCCCAATTAATTAATTAATTAAAATTAAATTAATTAATAAATAATAAATTAATATATTTAATCCTCAAAAGCACCGTTCTGGGGGAGTGGTGCAGGATGGTTTTCCATCAGCCAGCAGAGCCAGGGGAAAAAGGAGAGGCTGATCCTCCAGGGGCAGGATGGTCTGGATGCTGGGAAAGGTTTGGAGAGCACTTTGTGGCCGGTAAATGAGATGCAAACGGTCGGTGTCGTCACCAACAGGAGCCAGGCAGGGGCAGGGAAATGCAGGGTTTGGGGAAAAGCTTGGAAAATACAACCTGCAATTCTGAGGGAGTGCAGATAAGGGAGGAGCAGTGGAAGAGCCATCAGCTGAGCAAACAAAAAAATACAAACCAAACCAAACCAAAACAAAAAATACAAACAACCCCCCCCCAAAAAAAAAACCCAAAATAATGAGGAACTCCGAGACTGCCCAGCGTGATGAAACAGCCCATCAGCAAGTCTGCTGCTCCACGAGTGATAACTGGGGCACATCCACAGCCAGGGGTTATTTATTGCATTTTTAATCTCCAGGAAGGCGTTTTTTGGACAGACTCCCCCCCCCCCACAAAAAAAAAAGCCACCAGCAGGTAATACCTGCTCAGGATTTCCCCAAAACCTGCTCAGTCCCCACCTGCGGCTTTCTGAATATTTACACCAGGGCCCAGAAATTGCCCTTTTGGGGAGAAAAACCTTTGAGGTCTTTGTGGAAAGACCTTTGAGAGAGAGATGGAAAGACCTTTGAGAGAGAGATGGAAAGACCTTTGAGAGAGAGGTGGAAAGACCTTGGTGGTCCTTGAGGAAAGACCTTTGAGAGAGCTGGAAAGACCTTGGGGGTAAGACCTGGAGAGCTGGAAAGATCTCGGTGGTCTTTGTGGAAAGATCTTTGAGACTGGAAAGACCTTTGTGGTCCTTGAGGAAAGACCTTGGGGGTCTTTGTGGAAAAACCTTTGAGGTCTCTGTTGAAAGACCTTTGAAAGAGAGCTGGAAAGACCTCGTGGTCTTTGTGGAAAGACATCTGAGAGCTGGAAAGACCTTGGTGGTCTTTGTGGAAAGACCTTTGGGGTCTTGGTGGAAAGACCTCTGAGAGCTGCAGGTGCTGCTGCTGTCCCCCTGCAGCGCAGCTGTCCCACCACAGCACCCACCAGGAACGCAGACACGGAGCTCCTCCTCCTCCTCCCTCTTCCCTCTGACCCCCACCCGCTTCGGAACCCCCTAAACCCCCTAAAACTTCCCTTTTCCTCCGCTCCAGCCCCAAGGCGAAGGCTCTCCCACGGGAAACACTCACTGTGGGAGGAGGAGAGGCTGGAGAAAGCCCCCTTGGCGCGCCCTGCCAGCCACTCCAGGCTCTCGTGCATGTTGGCCAAGGCCTTGAGGTCGCTGACGTCGCGCAGGATCTCCTGCTGAGGGATCAGTTTGTCGCCCAGGTTGCCGATGAGAACTTCAGATTCTTTGCCGAAAGCGGCCCTGGGGGGGAAAAGAAAACCCAAACAAAGCCACCCCCCCCGTCGGGGATCAGGGATGCAGGAGCAGGGGATGGGGGAGGGAAGGTCAGATTTTGGGGTGGTATTTTTGGG